AAGAGTGTGGCGCTGCTTTGGTATTCTTCACTCGCAACCCCCTTTTATCGATTACCCTTATGATGGTTGTCCTGCAACGGAATGAAGGAACATTGGCGAGAAGAGAGTGGCAGGGAGAAGAAGGTGGAGGAAACAGGATGCTGAGAAGAGACGTAATAGGCAGCAAAAACTCCGGGAGAATTTTACAAAAATGTTATTGTAATTTATGCTTGAGACTCGACTTTTTTCTATTTCTATGCTACCTTCTTAGTATATGTTTCATAACTACCTTGTTGAACTTCAGAAGAATGTTTCATTTTATTAGTATAGATGTCTTGCATATGCAAAATGTTTTCATTTTCAATTTCCTTGTTTTCTATAATTATGATGACATTTTGCCTGTTCTGTTTGGATTGTTTGAGAGACCTGTAATTCATTGCCCATTTAGATGATCTATTTTGTTGTAAATTACAGTAAATTGTAATTGCGACAACATACATTCTATATAATCTATTTGGTATTGTTTCTTAGATTATGTTATTTTTTTGTTCGTTCCAGTTGTGCTGAATATCTTCTGTATGGGGTAAAGTTTGGGTTACTTTAATTATGTCAGTTTATTTATGGATTTTTGCAATTACTGATGTAAAATCTTGAATTGCCATCTAATTAGCCTTGAAGTAACTTTTTTGATGTTTATGGTTGAAAGGTACACTAGTCTAGAATTATGTAGCATGATATTGTCTCAGGTTTTGCTTATTAGTTCATTTAGATTGGCTCATAACCCATTTATTGAGTTGAGTCCTGGTCGACTCATGAGTTAGCTTGACACATTTTTAACCCTAATTGCATTTTAATGATCTACTAACCTAAAATAACTCATGTGCTTGAATGAACCTCCATGTATCTTCAATATAATGTGTTTGCCTTGATTCTTTTGCATACTTTCTCCTTCTAATTTGAGGTTATTATACTCTTAAATTAAGATTTGTGTGTTCAACACAACTATTTATCCCATTGTCCAGTTGTTCCTATAGTTTGGGTAAATTTCATTCCAAGTATTGCTTGCATACTTCTCCTTAGGCTTTAAGGCTTAGCATAGTTCTTCTAAAGCATTTGATCTTACTGAACATGGAAACTGTTGAGTCTAACGTAGTGTGTTAAATGCTCACTAATAAGTGATGAGTACTTTGTCTTTTTTACTGTGTTGTTTTGTCTTAGTTTTCAACTTCTGCAGTATCGAATATATTGTCGAGACAATACTGTTACAAACAGTATTACTAAACAGCGGCAGAACGGTCATTTATCCACAAACAGTTGCAAATCAGTTGTTTTCAAACAGCCGCCCCAAACAGTCAACCAGCTTATCCGGATAAGTTGCAAATCAGCAATTTATCAAGATAAGTTGTTTATCTGGATAAGCTAGATAAGTTGTATCCGCCCCAAACAAACCCTAAAAGAAGAGTTCTCCTCACCTTCCTTTTCTCCATCATCTTTCGTATCAATTCCACCCAACTATATAAGGTGGATATTCTCTATAAGTCGCACATTTTCTATTTTCATAATGGAACCCTCCCTCTCACTACATCATAGATGTAAGCTACAAGAGTGAGCCAAGAAAATGTGGTCATGTTGGTGTATCTTCTTTTGATCTCTCATCTTGTTCTCTTTGTGAGGATGCTTCTTTTCAAAGAGATTTTGTGTCTAAAACCCAAGCTATCTCTTACAAGACTGGAGGCGTTGATTTATGTTTTTCCTCCGAATCAAAAAGTATCTTGGGACGAAGGCTCAACCCTCATCTTTCCTCTATTCTCCTGGGCCTCCACTTCTCCCTTGAAAACTAAATGGGGCAATCCTAGCAGTGGACCACTTTCATGCACTAGCAATTGGAACTTATAAAAGCCACGAATCCAAGTTTAAGGTACATGACAGCATCAAGCACATGATCAAATCAGAATATTCCATGTATATTTGGGAAAAGTATAAGACAACAAGTGAATTTGACCAACTCAGCAAAACATCTCAACAAAATCCAAACTTGGCAAGACATCTTAGCAAATTCAGATCGGCAAAGTCACTCAACCAATCAAATTGATGTAATTATACATAACATTAAATAAAAACCTAACCAACTTGTCAAGCAATTTATCTAATCAAATTCAACAAATTCATTCAGCGGATTAATTTGAAAAGACTAGACGATGGCATCAACTTGCCCTATAGCTAACAACATCGTCTTATATAATACGCTACACGCAGCATAATAGTATTATTCTAACATATTTTTCTCTTTCGGTATATCCAATTATAAATGTATCTATGGATGGAGTCAACTCAAACTTATAAATAAGAGAGGTTATCCACGGGATAGGATACTTTTTTTAGCTTCAAAAAATAAAGAATTCTGCAAAGCATTCCTTGTTTTCATGTCCATACTTAGAGTTTGTTTGGAATAGCTTTATGTCTACTTTGTATTTATGACTATCACCATAGTTCTATATGAAGAATTATTTTCTTATTGTTTTCTAAAAATTTCTATGGTGATAAACAATTTTTTTTAACTAGGCTTATTAAATGTGATGGTTATAAGAAAGTTGTTGTTTGTTACGGCCATCATTTTAAAGAGTTGCAGCCAGCAAAGACAGACCCTTAGAGAATTTTCTTATACTTTTCCCTTTAACAAGCACCATATAGGTAACACAAGACCACTGATGGTTCAGGATTCAACATTTTCCATTAAGGGAAAAAGTTTTGTGAATTTCTCACAAAATAAATGTCTCTGCTGACCAGAACACACTTCCATCGGAACGAACATCAGTATCTGCAAAATAACTCGCCCCAAAAAAACATCTAAAGAAATCCAAAAACCTCATTAATTCAGGAGAAAGACGAGACGGATTAAAGAATGCTCCCTGTTACATTAAAAAGTATATATGACAGCACGAATAGGCGATTATCCGCATAAGCAAAATACACTTATAACAAGGGGGGAAAAACTTTGAATACTGCTCCAAAATACTACCCATCCAGCCGAAACCGCTCCCGGACATCAATCAAATGAGGGGAAGTGAAGAGGCCAGTGCGGAAGCCACAGCTCCGCAAAATGGACTCAGTAAAAGCACACGTAGAGCCCTACATGATCCAATCTACTCACTATAAATCAGGCTGTCAATGAAAACTTAAACAAGAACTAAATCTTCATCAAATGCGAAATTTCATCCACCTTTCCCTTGGTTCCAGCAACGTGAATAACCTTCAAGTCGCTAATAGACTCATCCAGTTCCAGAATCTGCCACACAAGCAACACCAAGTTACAACCCAAATGGAAACAGAACCATAACATGGCAGAGGAATAACATCAAACAGATAACACCTTCAAATAGTCGAATAACAGATCAAAGTTGTCCCCCTTGTTCGCCCCATCGGCTCGGGTTCGTCGAGTAATCAAAGAAGACAGGCAATTGAGCGCTTCCTCGTATTCTGTTAGCGGCTCCGAGGAACCAGCTTCCCCTTTCAATGGAAGAAGAGCTTGGTGAAGTCATATGTGCCATTGAAATCCGCAAGTTTAAAGATCGCTTACCTCCAACCATGCCTTCAAGTGGAAGAAGGGTAGGAGAAATGGCTCGCTGAGGCTTCAGATGGAGGATGTTTTGGATGCGAAGTCGAGAGAGATTATGGAGGTGAGGTGAATAAGGGTTCACTCGTGGAGGACCACGAAATCTTTCTGTCCTGCGGATCCAATTTACGGGCTTGAATGGGCAGGCGGACATGGAAGTACATAGCGGTCCTGTCGGATGCCGTATGTTTGGGAGATTTGTAACTCTTTATTAAGTTTAAACATATTTGAGCATATTATTAATTATATTCAACAAGCTTCAACTAATTATGCATCATCAAACAAAAAACAAAAAATATGAAAAAGTAATAATTTTTAGGCCATTGGTCACATTGAGAAGAAACTACTAAAGTGTCTTTCTAATCATGGGGCTTACTATTTTTTATGATTGATGAGGTGTAACTTAAAAAGCTATTATACATGACAGTTATAATTACTCTTATGTCATTTATGGCATTTAGAATGTTAAGCATCGAAGTAAAATTTAACATGTCATATGTAACGGAAGATTAGTTGTGGTAGAGTAATTATTTAGCATATTAATGATATGCAGAAGGCAAGCACACGTTCAGATTATAGAAGTGACCAATAAACGCATTATAAGTTTTGATTTTAAAATCCTGAAAGGGTAAAAATCATAGAGTCTAGACGAGCTGAAATGATACAATGTAAGTTAACATTGCATATTTGGACCCTTGACCTACAGACGGGAATGAGTTACACAGTTCATCGAGGAAAAATGTTCGTATGTCGGAAAAATCATTGTGTAGCGGTCAAGAGTAGTTGCAAATGAGACTAGTTGTCGATGACTCAGTATATTATTTTCAAAACGCGTTGTTGCAGTGTGCTTAGGGCATTGTGCTGCTCTGTAAGATGCTTCATTATTCTGCAATGTACGTCTTGAAATCTACGCAGAGCTTCGATGCAATGAGCGAAGAACGACCGAGGGTGGTCAGAGGCGATTGGCGAGCGGTGGTCAGTGGCAATCTGTGGTTGCAAGAGCTAGAAGTGAAGTCCTATTCTAATCATGGAGCTGACTAATTTTGTGATTTAGGGTCTGTTTGGGCCAGCTGCAGCTTATTGAATAATATGTTGGTAAGCTGATTAAAAATAATCTGCTGATAAGTTAGATGCGGTGGTTATTGCAAATTTTTATTTTTTTTGGAAATGTTAGACTACTGCCAGAAAGCTGCCACCACACCTAGATAGGTGCGGTCTGAAAATGCTGTTTTCAGCGTTTTCAAAACTCATAAGCTGCAAAAAATGCAGTTTATCCAAACAGGTCATGTGTGTTTTCAAAACACCACCGCACCAAATAAGCTACCCCAAATGGGCCCTTATTTGGTACAACTTAAAAGTGATTATGCATGATAGTATTAATTACTCTCAAGGCATTTATTACATTTAGAATGTCAAGTATCTAAATAAAATTTAACATGTATAATGAATATTTCAATAAGTTTTTTTATTAGTGGTGTGTACTAGAAGATTCACAGTAATTGAGTGATTATTTAGTGCATTAGTGTTGCACAAAAATCCAACATAAGCTCGGAAAATAGAAGTAACAAATAGAGACACTAGAAGTTTTGACATGGAAACCCTTGCAGAAAAAAAAAATATAGGGTCTAGCCCAACTTAAATGATCAACTATAACTTAATGATTACACATTCAAACCATTGACCAACAAGTTGGAAAGGGTTACACAGTTCTTTAAAGTACAATATTTGTATGTCGAAGGAATTATTGTGTAGCAATCGGGAGCAGATGCAATTAGGAGTAGTTGTCATGGACTTGGTATTCTATCTTCATGATGCGTCGCTGCAACGTGCTAAAAACAATGCACTGCTCCATAAGATGCTTCATTACATTCTGGCGTCAGTGGTTACTCTGCATGGTGTTTTGTTACCATGCAAGGTAAGTCTTTGACTCTACACAAAGCTTTGTTGCAACGAGCAAGAGGTGGCCGACAGTGTTCGAAGGTGGCTGGCGAGCGATGATCAGTGGTTGGAAAAGCAAGAAACGTTCATCTGGGCTTTAGTCTGGAATGTCAATAGAATTCAGCTTCTTCACGAACCAACCCCAGGTCCATCTCTTCTTTTGATTCAAGGCCAATGTCTCTTTTCATGAGGGAGTACGACTCTATTTATAAAGTACACGAGAGGCGTCCCTACAAATAAGGAAGAAATTTAAACAATTCCATTAGACAAATCAAAGAGATTCTCTCGGTCAGACTGCATTCAATGGACATTTAAGTGTCTTAACAATGTCATAATTGAGTGTCTTGAACTCTACACAGAGCTTCACTACAATGAGTGAAGGGCAATCGACAATGGTCGAAGGCAATCGGCCAACAGTGGTCGACAGTGATTGGTATGTGCAAGAGCGGGAAGCGTTCGTTGGGTCTTCAACATAGAAGGACGTTAGAATTCATTCTTTCACAAATCTTTCAGTTGTGAGTATCCAATGTATGAGATTCAATGCAAAGGCAAACATGGAAGTTCACAACACTCATGGCGAATGTTGAATGAATCCTTACCTTCTAATATGGACAAAAATAATATATATAATTCATGAAATTAATCAACAATGATTAACATATTTAGTGCAATTGTTATTATTTTAGATATTTTAAGTAAATATTTATTATTTAAGGTTATGTTTTGGATGTAGAGGTACTGTTAATTATTGAAGGGTGGCTTATTTAACATAAGTCAATCATTAGAGCTTTCTTTTTGTTTTTTTTTTCTCACCAAAAAAATGTCCTGTGTGTACGTGTCACATAAAAAAAACAATTATTTATTTTGGACAAAGGATATTTGAGCCTCATTATTGAGTTTAAACATCACATGAAGAGTGTGAGAGTATTTCTTATGCTCATCATAGTGCTTCAACTAATTATGCACTAAGAAACAAAGAATAAAAAGGGCAATAGCCCGCGTTTTGAAAAAACCGTTGAAGTGTCATTTTAACCGTGGGGCTTACTAATTTTTTAATTTATTTGGTGCAACTTATATGCTATTATGCACGACAATACCAAATACTCAAGTCATTTATTACATATAGAATGTTAGGTATCAAAATAAAATTTAACAAATGTAATGAATATTTCAATAAGTTCATTGGGTTATTGATGCATACCGGAGAATCACGGTTGTGGATTGATTATTCAGTGTATCAGCATTGCAAAAAAATTCAACACACACTCAAATAAGAAAAGTAACATGTGGAGACATCATGAGGTTTTACGTCGAAAACCTGAAAGGGAAAAAATCATAGGGAGTAGCCCAACTAAAATGATATACTATGAGTTAGTAATTACACATACAGGCATTTGCCTGCAAGCAAGAAATGATACACTAAGTTGTCATCTATTTTTCAATTATGATCCATAGTTTATATGGTGCTTCTTTATATGAATATTTTGGTAATTCTATTTTTATTTGGTTTAATTATCCCAAGCATATCAAACATGTGATATCACTTCTAACATAAATTGAAATATCTTCTTTAATGCTTATGCTCCTACTCATTGCATTAGTGCTATTAAATCTATTAATATTTTTTAGGGTATCTCATGACGTTGGAATGATTTAAGTCAACACTATTAGAAGATATTTATTTATTTATTTTTTAATGTATAAGAATAAAGATTGGTGTAAGTTGGTTTGGTTCAATGATTATGCCATTAAATTTGCCTTTCATAATTGAAAGGTTATGCATATGAGGCTTAAACCATTGATATTTTTTCTCACAGAGGTATTTTGGTTAATCCTTATTACATGATTTGGTTATGTGTTCGAATCTCATAACCATTTATTTTTTGAATGCTCATATTCTTCTGAATACCTATATTCCGTATGATAATTTTTTTTTCCTATAACATCCATTGCAAATTTATTAAGAGGATCATGCTCTTGGACATTCAAGTTAATACTTACTATATTTAGTATTAGAGAAATTGTAGATTTTTTATGAATAATTTTAATTTTACTGAGGTGCTCAGACAAAGTATTCATTGGATAATTAAAAAAAGAGAGTAAGAGGTGGAAGTTTTAGTATGATAGTCTTCCACGGGGATTCAAATAATTTGAGTTCTTCATTTTCCTTTCTTTCTTCCCTTCTTATGTTTCCGTTTTCAAGTTTTCAATTTTTTTTGGCTAATGACAATGATTATTCTGGTGGTACTGCTTCTTGCCATGTATACTTTTACTTTCTTTGCTATTTCTGTCTATTTCTAGTTGATCTAGGTATGTGATGCCCTATTTGGCTGACTATTTCGAAGCTGATATACTATAAAGTTATTTTCGTTTCTTGTAGTTATCATCAACTTTAAAATTTTTGAAATCAAGCATTGGACATTTCTTTTCCATTATGTGTGTGTCGATATATATATATATATATATATATATATATATATTGGCCATTGTTTTGCTATGGAGCGGTTTAAATTTTTTGAAATCAAGCATTTGAGTTTGTTATACTTCCGTCCATGATATATCTATACGAGCATTATTTTTCTTGAGTATTATTCTGTTGGGTATTTCATAAGTTTTATATAATTATTTTTAATATTTTTTATCAGAGGCATTGATTTTTTGTATTTTTATATCACTCGTAATATATTTTTGTTTAATAAAATTGAGAATATATATATATATATTATATTAATGGATAAACCACTACGGTTGCCAATATCGCCGCGGGGAAGAACAACGGCCACGCCTCCATCGCGCCTAGAATCATTTTCCGTTTGTGTGGCTTTCCTTACAATCAGGCGATCAATGTGCTTGCCGCCAGAAACACGCGGTTCTTCTTCCGCGTTCCCGATAAACCCTCGGCGGCCGCAGTGTGCGGTGGAGTGTAAAGCAGCCGAAATAGATAGGCCCCCTCAAGATCAACAGGAGCCATTAACTGAACGGCGAGAGGGAAGGAGGGAGAGAGAGACAGAGGGATAAGGAAAAAAATGGGGATGGAAAAGGTTAGCGGACCATTGGCGTTGTTGAAGGCGGTTCTGGAGCACCCTGAGGATTTGATGCCTCTTGTGAAGATGAAGGTAGCGTCGAAGAAGATAGAGCTTCAGTTCCCGGAATTCTCCCCCTGGGGGTTCGTTTACTCCATGCTGGAAAAGGTCTCCCCTAGCTTTTCCCTTGTGATCGAGCAGCTCGGCTGCGACCTCCGGGACGCTGTAAGAATCACATTCCTGAACTTTGCCCCTTTATTCCCCTCGATACTGTCTCCGTCGTTGAAATTGGGTTGTTCTCGTCTTTTTTGATGCCATTTTTGGCTTATGTTCTGCTTGGCTAAAGCGCTGCAAGGAGAACAAACATGGTGATTTTAAGCGGTGCAGTGTGATCTACCTAATTCATGTCCTAAAGATACAGTATATAGATGTATAAACTATTAACTCCCAAATATTTGTTTTGTTTTTATCACATCAAATTTTTTTTTCAAATTCTATTTTATTTCTTTTCCAAATTTGAGCTTGATCTATCCTCTGACAATGCTCATTGGAGAATGGAGATAACGGAAAATCTATTACTTTTGATGTCATACCATATTGTTGTCACCAGCTCCAGTGAAGTTACAAATTTCAATTTTGAAGAGCTATGGCTTTAAATCATCCCTCCCTGGGTCACCTTCCATGTATCAGTATAGGACCTTGAGATATACTTTTCTTCACCAGGCTGCCCAAAATTAGGGATTTCCTTAAGCCATTTTCTTGCCTTTTTATTATGAAGTTTTCATTTAGTTCATTACCGTTATTGATTCACACATTAGCAATTCCCATAAAAATTAAATGTTCCCCAACAGCAAGGTGACCCTTTCTACAATCTTTTAAATAACAGTTATATATAAACATTTTATGTAGAGTTGAATGAAAAGCCACACCTAAGTGCATGATCTTGGGCTCCATAGAACTATCCATACTATGAATCAATGCATCTGAGAGTTTTTCACTTGCAACACTCATAGATTCTTCCAAATTCAAACTTTGTCCCCCATTCCTTTACGAAATGTTTCTCTTCATGCATCTAATCGCACCACTTTGTCATCATACAATGCCATGACCTTTTGATTGACTCTTATGCTGTGATTCAAATTCACTTCAATTGTTACATCCTCGTATGATTTTGATAGGAACTAGACAAATTTCCACAAAGATTAGGGCAAAATAAATCTTACATGTCAAACACAAAACAACACAACCCAAATACATAAAAGCTTTCCCTAACCTTAGCCCTAAGATTCAAGACAACAATCACATATTCTAACCGCGAACATATTAGTCCTTTTTATATCCCACAGTAATAACCAACAAATGACTAAATCATCCATTTATTCTTACACCTAAGGTCTTCATATTATTTGGCGGGCTTGATGTAGACTTAATGGAGCACAAGGCGGACGATGTCGTTTTAACATTACTACCCTCTCAAAAAGTTCATTGTCATCAAGATGGAACAGAGGAATGTGCTTCTGGATCAAGTCCTATGGATCCCACCTGGCGTCATAATGTGACAACCCTTTCAACTTGATTAACACTTCTTTCCCACCTACTGATTCCTGACACACCCCTTTTAACTCAAGTGATTCCAAACATACTTTCATATTCTTAACCAAAGCAGGGGGAAGTGTAGAATGTGATACAATATCACCAATAACACCTCTCAACTACGATATGTCGAGCACTAGGCAGATTGTTGACGGAGATGACAATTTTAAATGTTAAGCCACTGCCCTAATACGCTCACTGATCTCATAAAGACCGAAATATCGTGGAAATCCTTTCTCATTGTTGCGTCTGGCCAATGTCCTCTACCGATTGGGCCAAAATTTAAGATACACCCTATCTCCTAGCGCAGACTGCACATCTCTTCGATATGCATTTGCTTGTTTCTTCATAATTTGTTGTGTTTTCAGGTAAATATCCCTTCAATTCCGCTGGCACCTTGTCCTTTTCTTCTAAGTGTTGATCCATCAAAGATACCAATGTAGTACCGTGTCCATGATGCATCAAATGGGGGTGAATTGCGACCATACAAGATTTTAAAAGGAGTGAGCTAAGAAGCTGTGCTATACGATGTGCTGTATCAATACTCTGTCCAGGGTAGCTATTTAGTCCATCCATTTGGGTGCATCGAATATAAAGTAACGCAAATAGGTCTCCACATTCCAATTAACAACTTCAAATTGTTCATCAGTCTGTGGGCGGTATGCTATATTTTTCTTCAATACGGCCCATACCTTTAAACAATTCCGTCCAAAAATGACTCAATAAGACTGTCTCGATCCGACATTATCAATTTTTGGGATCCCATGCAAGCGAACAACATCGCGCATAAAAACAATGGCGATAAAAATTCTCAGTGTAGGGATGTCGTAGAGTTACAAAGTGAGCTTACTCGTTCAACTGGTCCACCATTATCAACATGACTGTAAACCTTTAGATCGAGATACGCCTTTAATGAAATTTATCGTCATATCCTAATTTACCTTCTCCAATAATACCAGAGGTTATAACAACCCTCCAGGTGCTAATGCTCTGTACTTGTGTCGTTGCCCAAATGCCTCCCCAATAGTGTTGTCGTGTTGTTCTCATAATAATATCATTATGTGTCTTGAATTTCCGAGTAATACATAGCATTCTTGGTAAACGTTGGCCATGCTGTGGAGTCGAGCTAGGTGTTCTCACCACTCAATGAAGCCGACTAAATCTTGCTCAATTCCTTATATGCCTCACTCTTTTGTCTCAGAACATCCTAATCTATGATCGAAGGCTCTGACAATGCTAACAATTGAGCCTCCTCTGCTCGTCGTAATAAGACATCAACGACATTATTCTCTAATCATGGGCTATAAAAAATCTCTAAATTCTACCCCAATAACCTAGATAGCCACATCCGATGTTCCTCAATTACGATACACGGGTCTAACAAAAACTTAAGCCTATGTTGATTCGCGCGTACTGTAAAGCACCAGACCAACAAATGAGGTCGTCATTTCTAAATCACAAGCACAATTACCATGAGCTCCCACTCATAAATTGACTTGAATTTGGCTCTCGCAGTCAACACTTGATTGAAATAAGCGACGGGCCGTTAGCACTGCATGAGGGCTGCAACCAACCCATAGCTTGAAACATCTGTCTCTACAATGAATGGTTTGCTTAAGTCAAGTTACGCCAGTACTTTTAATCTCATCGTTGTCTTCTTCAACTTTTTAAAAGGTCAAGTGTTCGCTTCACCCCACTGAAAGTTATCCTACTTCAGTTGTTCCGTCAACGGCCACACAATCAAGTTGTGAAATTTCACCAACTTTCAACAGTACCTTGTAAGTTCTAGAGATTATCCCAACTCAGTAAATGTCTTAGGTAATGACCAATCATTTATAGACGCCACCTTTGATAGATTCGTCGTCACCCATGTAATTGACATCACATATTCTAAGTATTCCGCCTTCGATTGGGCAAACAAACACTACTTCAAGTTAGCGTAGAGAGTATCATGAACACTTTCTTCAAGCGATCAATGTTGTCTTCGAAGGTGCTGTTATATGTTAGGATATTATCAAAGAATACCAACACAAACTTTTGGAGGAAAGGCTGAAACACTTGTTTATTAGTGATTAAAATATAGTTGGGGCGTTTGTGGCCCCGAATGGCTTGACCAGAAATTCGTAGTGACCCTTATGAGTTCGAAGAGCAGTCTTGTGCACATCTGATGACCGCCTTTGAATATGATAATATATTGACTTCAAGTCAATCTTGAAAAATATGGTATCCCCAAAGAACTAGTATATAGCTCATCAATCACCAGAATGAAAAATTTTTTAGGTATTATTTTTTTATTTATTGCCTAATAATTTACATAAAAACTTCAACTATCATCATTCTTCTTCACTAGCAAGAGCATACTAGACAAAGGGCTCACACAATGATGTATGATAACCGAATCTAATATCTTTTGGATCAATCTCTCGATTTCATTCTTTTGCTTGGGATAGCAGTATGGGTGCACCCCAGTTGGGGAGACCCCTGACCTCAGGGTTATTGCATGCTTGTGTTCCCTCCAAGGAGACAATCTACGTGATAATTGAAAAATTTTTGCAAACTGCTATTGCTGGACTGGTGCCGTAATTTTTGCCAACTCCGTATTTCATGTTATGTAACTCGATCAAGAATCACAGTCCTGCGTCCTGAATTGCCCTAACGATGGTTTTGGGCATTAACAACGTCTTACATAAATTAACACCACCACGAAGCACTATTGTCTAATCTCCCTCCTAAAACTCCATTGTTAAGAGTTTTCAATTCATCTAGTTTCCTGTAAGGACTACAACCATTTCTTACCCAATATCATGTCAATACTTACTAAATCTAAGGGAAAGAAGTTCTCCACCACTTGAATATTCTATATTGTCAAAATCAACCCATTATAACTCTTTTGTTATAACTCGTTTCTTCATCCCTTACCCCATCCCCATGCCCATCACACATTATGAGAACCTGTAATGTTATATCATTACAATGATGTCCATGTGGAAAACTTCTTATCATACCGAAAACATAACCACCTAACTCACTTTTCTTGAGTTTATGTCTTTGCAAGGCGTTTGAATTCCCCTTTCAGTTGTGACCCATTATCCCTATCCCGTGGAGCTCTTCATGTATCCCAAAGTCTTAGTTTTTAGTATCGTGTGGTTGTAGCATTTCAAAATGACACTCCACTTGTGCTGCTCCTATTTGCTCGTTTCATTGTGTTTTTATCTTCAACCAATTTTGTTAATTTCATAGTTTCTCTCAATCCTCATGGTGTCAACAAATGAAGCACTACTCGGTCCCTTCATGAAGTTTTCTTCAATACTGCTTTCAATATCCTTCTTAAACGGTCAGAAGACATCTCAAATTTCACTCTATAATCTATGATTTACCCTTATTGGACCAACACAAAAAAATTGCTTGTGTAAATCCCTTTCTGTGTGATTCTGAAACGCTTAAACAATCGATCTTTAAATTCTTTCCATGTTCTCATTGACTAGCATTATTCTTTCCATTGATACCACACTAGAGCCATCCCTTTCAAATGTAGGGCCGCTGCCATCAATCTTTCTTTCTCCGTCAGCACATCAACAACAAAGTATATCTCTATGCATAAACCCAATCATAAGCATCATCTTCTTCAATGA